ACCAAATTGGTAAAGCACGTGATATATTATTTGTGAAATTAATGTGATAAAGTTTTGGGTATTTATCTCTTTCTTTATTACTCTCAAATTACGCACGCGAGGTGTTTTCGTTGCAATGAGACCTGCAGTAAAGATAATTAACATATTATCCGCGTTAAATGAGTGAATCCAATAATAAACTCTTACCTTCAGTCGCAACGGTATCAGAAATAATTTGACTAACAGCTTTATACAGCTCTAATAAATTTACATAAATTCTAGCTATTTGTACAGAAAATCCACTTCCAACTGCGTTACATGCTGCCACATTTGTTCGGAGAACATGTCCAAGAATCTTGGTGTTCTCAGCAATATGCAGCGCGTTTATATCTTTTGAGACATCTTCCAAAATGCGATCCCACTAAAAAATAAATAAATATATACACACATTAAGTATACCTAGAAATTATAACGGATGAAAGCATGTAGTAAATTTACTCACTCCTTGATTGGGGAGTTCCATATAGTTCATAACTAGTCGTTCTTGTATATTTTTATTTGTCTGTGCCGATATCATATAGCCTACGGCTTCATAGAAGGTTTGAACCTAACGACGAATTAAAAATAAAATTTATGTTAATAAACCTTGAGTTTTTTAATATCAAATGATTCATAAAGTTCACCTGTTGTGGTGACAAATCCTTTGTAATGACTTCGATTCCACTTATAATTTCATCTATGAATGGAGTATTCTCTCCTTGTTGCTGTGAGATAAATTGGCGCCGACATTTCTGGGCGATCTTAATAAAGGTATCACAAGCCATATCTTGCACACCTATGTAAGAATAAAGTGGTTACTGTTAAATTGAATTAATAAATTTCCTATTCCTTAACGATAAATGATTCCAATACCTTCATGAGTTTCATGCATGAATTCAAAGAGTTTATTAACAACCGTTTTTAAAAACTTCCAATGTGCTTTGAGAAAACGTGGATATTGACCGACGATATACATGATATTCGAAGCAACTACAGCCTTGTTGTCTTTACCACGTTTCTGCTCACAAAGGCTCAAAAGTTCTTTGATTACCGTTACCAAAAACCTCTTTTCCGTGTCTTCATCTGTACAAGAAAATAAACAAGGCAAATTAACCGACGCGATTGAACAAAATAATAATTATGTAACGATCATCATACTCATTGCGCCGGAAATGGATCCAATCGCCCAACAAAGTTTATTTAAGTTATTCCAAGACCATTCGGAACCGTCAATCTAGAATCAGTAGTCCATATCAAGATAATGAATTTAACGTTGTGTAGAAAATAATATGCAAATACCTTACCTGTTTAGTTAACTTATTTGACATGATTATTTCTGAATCTTGAACGTCTAAATGTGTCAAATATACTAGGCACTCACGCATGCTCTTGTATAATGTAATTGTGTCACTGTCCTTCATAAATTCACGCACGATTTCACCCTCATCATTCTCGACTACAAGAACCTAGGCAATGACGTTAGTACCAAATTTATTATAATAAATGATCTTGGTATACTACCTCCGATACACAGACTTACCTCTTCAGGTTTTACCATGCGATCAATCATGATGACCCTTAAATTTGTTAAGATCTCGGTGTACATATGCTTCCTCAAAGGAATGTTGGCAAGAGTAGAAGGCGGAGATGATACGCCGGTAAGAGAAAGAAGAGGCATTTCAAGGACAGGCAACTGTTGTATTTCTTCGTATAATTCGGCAACCTATAAATTAATTAAAGAAAGAGATAAATACCCAAAACTTTATCACATTAATTTCACAAATAATATATCACGTGCTTTACCAATTTGGT